TTACATTGTGCGAGCTGTCTCTTTAATACCGCGTGGTTTATATACATGTTGCTGCTGATTAGGCTGACATTTTTGACACACCCACCAAACAAGAGGAAACGTATCTCAAACCCCGTTGCAGACCGTTGCACACCGTTTCCAGGAAACATGTCGTTCAAACCGGAAACCGTAGCAAAACGTTACGCACCGGTTTGAGCTTGAACTTGCCCCAGTTGAGTCTAAACCAGGGGTGTCAAACTCAGGTGTCTTAAACGCACCTGATCCAGCTAATCAAGTCCTTCAGGTAGGGCTGGACAATAATTCAGTATCAATATGTATCGCGATATAATTTTTTTCAATAAAGGTGATATGATTTTTTAACACATTTTTGTCTACAGAAAAGTTTCGATGGTATTTTAATTTGATCTGATAAAGAAGCGTTCATGAGCAGAGTTGATTTGATTACAGCCATTACTGGAGAAACCACTAGTTCTAACGCTCTCAAAGCGCCTCCTGCTGGCAGACAATTAGTTAGCATTTTCAATAAGCCTGTCTCCAGCAGCATGTTTTTGTTGTTGCTGTTTTTTTTTTTTTGGCTTTCTACAGCAACTCAGAGCACCTTTCATACTCTTTATACTGGCTAAAGCACATTTGTTTCAATCTATAAGAATAATCAGCCTACACTACCAGTCAAACGTTTTTGAACAGTAAGTTTTTAATGTTTTTTGTTTTTTAAGAATTCTCTTCTGCTCACCAACCCTGCATTTATTTGATCCAAAGTACAGCAAAAACAGTAAAATTTTGAAATATTTTTACTATTTAAAATAACTGCTTTCTATTTGAATATATTTTAAAATGTAATGTATTCCTCTGCTCAAAGCTGAATTTTCACCATCTTTACTCCAGTCTTCAGTGTCACATGATCCAGAAATCTGAAAAAAAAAAAAAAAGAAAATATGCAGATTTTCTGATTATCAATATTTAAAACAGTTAAACACATTTTTTTTCAGGATTATTTGATGAATAGAAAGATCCAAAGATCAGCATTTATCTGAAAAAAAAAGCTTTTGTAACATTATACACTACACCATTCAAAAGCTTGGAGTCAGTAT